TGCGTCGAAATCGGATCCGAGATTCTTGCACTTCAGCTGATACCATTTGAAAGTTTGGCCAGACCTCACTGCGCTGGGCACATCTCGGTGCTTCGCACCTCGCGCATCGCGCAGGGTCTGTCGCTTGGGCCCCTCTCGTACGGGCTAGGCACCTGGTCACTTTCCGCTGACCGCTGGCCCCTTCTTGACTGCGTAATGTTACGCCGTCAGCTGTCTCTGAGAGCAGCATACCATGCGGCCATGGATGTTTCGGACATGGGTCCAGGTCTCATCCGTATGGACCTTCACAGCCCGCTCACTTGCGTGCCGTGCTCCCGGCACCTGTCCTTAGCTAGCTCAAAGCTTGCATCCCTTTAAAACCAGGAAACAAAGCGCACCAACTCCAAAAAACCACGAGCCGCCCAAATCGGTTTCTTTCCGGCGAAACGGCCCAGCCGCCCTTCACCTCTCTAAGATCCTGGCCGGCAGGACGGGCTCGCTTCGCGGTCGCCTTGAGATTGGTTCGGCGAGACTCGTGGCTAGGCACTTATGGAACCACCTCACTAAGTGGTTGGTGGACATAAATCCCCACCTAAATGATGTCCACGCCCAGGTCGCATGGGATGGGACAATTGAGCTGTCCCCCTGAATTTTCTGAGACGATGTGTCTGCTACCCGCCAGCCTCCCTCGGCCTCTTGGCGCGGCGTGCAGCATGCACCTAAGGGTTGCTCGACTCACGCGTGAGCTCCCCATCCAAAGCGCCAACGGCAAGTGGGCGTTGAAAACCCGCGTACGGATTTTCGCTCCGAGCTCAGTTCAGGCTTTACCTGAAGGCATCTGGTTAGCTATCTGGTCGCGCAAAGCGTAGCAGAAATTGGCATCAATTGAACCGGGCAGCAACAACTTGAACAACATGGATGCCAAAGTCTGCGCAGGAAGACCGCGCTCCAGCTCAGCCGCTCAGACATTCGCCGCGCCCTGCCTGTCGGAACACAGCGACATGGGTATGGTTCAAAATCAAACCACCAGGATATGGACCGCAGATGTCAGTCCTGTTTCCAATATATGAGGGGTACATATGGCCATGGGTCAAAATCCCATACCCGCTGTGAACATCCCAACCCCCACCAAAATAGACCAAAATGGGTGGTGAATTCACCTACCAACCAAAATGGGATCCCAAAACGGTTTTGAGAACAGCCACGTCTCCTCTCGTTTTCGTCTCGCGCGAGCGCGCCTCACGGCCAGGACGGCGGTGGCGGCGCGGGCCTTGGCCAGGCCATGGCGCACTGCCCGCAGCACCTGATCCACGTCCACCTAAGAGGGAAGGCGATCCATCCGTTGGCCATGGGTCAAAACCCAAATCGGTTCTTTTTCGGTGAACATCCGATTCAATCCCCACTAAAATAAAGCCTAAAATGGGGGAATTCACCTACCAACCAAAATGGTACCATTGGTTTTGACGACCACAGCCAGGTGTGTTACACAAGGCGGGAGACATCGAGTCGTGCCAAGACTCTCCTTGGGCCCCGGCCACTGGACTTGCATCTCCAGCTCCAACATCCTCCAGCGCATTGACTCGACAAAACGCATCTGCGCGGTTGCGCCTCCTCCTCGGCCCGCCCAGAAGGCAATAGCTTCAGCGTCACAGACCCGGGGCTACGGGGGAAGTCGCTCGCAGCTCCGTTCGTCAGAGGCAGCAAATACACCGCCACGTTGGCCTCGGATCCCGCGGATCCCGCGCCTCCGCGCCTCTGCATTTGCTGCTCTCCCGCTCAAGTTTCGGGAGCCCGAATCCGGACTCCGGACCGCAAGTCTCAGTCTCCACTTGCCAGGAGTCCACCGATTCGAGTCCCACTCTTGAGCCACACCCTGTTGATCTGGATGCGGCTGTCAAAAATAGGGCAACCCCAAAATGGCTTGCCCTGGTAAATGGAAATATAAACGATTCAACCTGCGGTCCGATTCCTGGTTGAATTTTGACCCCTACCCTCAGGACCTCAGGACCTCAGGACCTCAGGACCTCGATCCGAGGCAACTGCCGGCAGCTTGGCCGCCAACGTCTCTGACTCTGCTTGGTGCAGCTCGCAGAAGAGCTGAGCGGCAGACGCGCGCGCAGCTCTCTATTCCACGAGGAAGGATGAGAAACCAAAAAAACATCCTCGGGCCGGTGAGGGAAAAAGGAAACACATCTGGCAAAGGGAGGTTTTAAAGGTTCTCCCCAAAATGCATCTCTCATTTGTAGAGAATCCAAAAACTGAGAGCTTGTCCCTTTGGTTGTCCTGTAATCAATCCAAAGAATGGGGTGCCTCGACAAAAGACACACCAAAATGGTCAACGGAAATTAATGGTACAGCCCCGTTCACAGTGGTTGCTCTGATCCAGACATGAGACGTGCGTGCCTCGGGTAACAAAAATCCCCAGCCTGCTGCCTGCAGGATTCCGCAACGGTTGTCAGCAACTGCTCCTGAACCAAACCAGGCAATTCAAGCCACCATGAAAACACAACGGTTGGTTGAATATAACCACCATTGTTTACCTGTCATCATCTGTAGTGGGTCCATTCTTTCAAAGGAGTCAAGGAACCCTAGGGCCAAGGCTAGTCACAAGCACAGACATCGGAACTGCCACGAGGTCTTGCGCTCACCATGCCCTCACTGAGCGAAAGCCTCGTTCTCAAACCAGAGGCTGGGCGGAGAAACGTAGAGCCTCAAAAACAGGACGCGGGCTTCCCCATGCATGGCCAAAAGCTGTGTCACCAAACAGCCCCCCACAAGAGCTACAAGCCCCCCCCCCGGTCAGTGGTAGGAGGGGAAGAAACCAACCGCCTGACTTCCCGAAGCCAAAATGAGCGGCCAAATGCGCCAAGCAGCACTCCCAAGGGCTCGCCCAAATGCAAGAGCCTGAGCTTCAGAGACAGCGGTGCGTCGCTTGGGAATTGGTACGCCTGGTTTGGTGCATCCTTCGGAAAACCGGAAAAAATGGGAGGGGTCCACCAAAATGCAAAATACACCCGAATTCGAGGAGAAATTCTGAGTCCTGCTCTCATGCGCAGTCACGTTGGGCTCCTGCGCACGGCTCTTGCGTCACCACTAGTCCCTTGCTCTTGCGAGGCCGGACTTCAGAAGTCTAGCGCCACCTACAGCCTATGTGTCTGTCATTTGGCTGTGGCTCAAAAGTGTGTTCCCATTTTTGGGCCCCTTGGATGGAAACAAAGACCAAAACCTGCGTAACCCCTGCTCTTTAATTTTGAGCCACACCCATTTGGTCGGTGTCTTTGCGTGAGAGCCCCATCTCTGCTCCGCGACTGAATTGCACTCGGAATGCAAGCAACTTCAACTGTCGCGAGAGCAAGTCACCGAACATAATTTTTCCTTCACCCTGCGTTTTCAACGACACCTCAAAAACTGGCCCTCAAAAGGCTGTCTGCCTCAAGACACTCAAGAAATGCCAATGTGACTTCCCGTTTCTTCCCCCCGGCGCTCAGTAGGGAAGGGAATGAACCCAGGCTTTGGTCCCCTTAAGGGAAACCACCAGCAAGGGATGGCTTTTCTTGGGATCATGTCAATTCTCATTGCCTATCGCACCGATCGCATTGATATCGCCTGTCGCACCAATTGGCGCTGGACCAAGCTCCGGCAGCTGGCCTCTGCCGCTTCTTTTCCGGCCGAAAACCCCTCCTTTGCAGCTGGTGTTGTCGGATCGATGGATATGGACCGCGGGTGAAAAATCGTCCATGTGTCCATTTGCCAGACATGGACCTTTTTGGGGTTACCCCATTTTTGACCCAGCCAAAATGAGGCCCACCCAGTGTCAAATAGTAACTTGGACCAGACCTCCAATGGCCCCAGCCATTCGTCACTTGAGGATAGCCTTTTTGGGTGGATCCCTACCACAAGGCAGTGGCAACAAACGAAACACACCGCAACTTGCGTTTGGGTGCATTTCCAGTGATGCAAGACACCAAAGCCCAAGGTTGTGTGTCAAGACTTATTTGGATCTCAACAAGGGGAAGCCAACCAGGGGCTTGCCAACAAGGGAGAGCCGAAAGGAGGCTGATTTCGGGTGACTGGCAAGATTTGCAAGGCAGGGACTCCCGTCCGTTTCAAGTTCCTTGGGGACCCCCTTTCCCTTCCCCTTCCGGGTTGTCTCGAAAGTCCGCAATGTGCATTGGGATCTGCATAGGCAAACTTTGCAAAGCTGAAAAGGCGCTTGCTGGGAGTCGATTGACACAGCACTGCCCTGAATTCAAGCATCGCAACCTCAGTGAGGACTCAGTGTCTTATAAAACAAAAACTCAGTCGTCATGTGAGCCATGAGGAGCCCGACACCATTTCGTACAAAGCCTGAGTTCCACGACTTATGTTCTGCTTGCTTTACTTTCAGAGTCTCTGGACGTCCATACTTTCCACCGGACTTGATCCCGCGCCTCTTCTCCCAAGCTGCAGTCGGATAAAATGAGAAGCAGGGCCGCGACTTTGGCGGCCTCGGATGTATTTTTTGCGCCCACAACCCCACAGCTGTACCGCCCGCACCGGATTTGTTTCGATGACTAAGAAAGGGCTTCAGGGTCATGAGAAACACTGCGTGGGTCCTCTGCACTTCCGTTTCCACGTGTAAGAGCCATATCCAAGACTTGACACCGGCCTCCACCCAAACTTGAGGCCAGTTGGTTGCTTCCGAATGCGGAATGGTCAAAAAAAAATCGAATTCGACCAAAAGCTTCGTGGCTTGTGAGCCGGACTGAAGAGTTCAAGCCCCCCGAGGCTGGCATGAACACAGGAAGGCTCTGTCCCCCATCTCCCCCTAGTGCCACCCAAGTGCCATCAGTGCACGAAGGTAAGGTGCAGAGCTCGCGGAACTGCCGACATGAGCCCGTAGCTACGGCCGGCGGTAAGGAACGCGGAATGCGGAATGGAACCCATGCCACATATCACATCTCAATGCAACTTGCAAGGAGAGAAAGTGTAAGAAAGAGAACAAGAAGCTCAACCACATATTCAAGGTCAAGAGACATTTCTTACTGCACGGGCCCCAGGCAGCACGCCAGGCGTAGCGCTCCTACGAGCTTCTCAGCAATGCTCCAGTGGGGCTCTCTTCTTCGTTTGCTTTTGGGACGGGGGGGAGGGGTAAGTATCGCTTTCTTCATTTTACCCCCCCTTTAAACCAACAAAAACAAATAGCCTTAAAGACCCTGGGATACATTTCTTGGGGGGTGCCCCTGTGCCATTTTATCCCCCCCCCTTTTTGGGGGTAGCCTTGTTGGAGCACCCCGGTCCGCCCAGCGCTCCTGCTCTTCGAGCCGGCGCTCCACCAGCCGAGCCGCCCGCGCAATGCGCGGGGCATGGACTCGGAAGGGCCCCGCTGACTCGCAGACGAGGGGGGAGTTGGATTGGCGTCTAATGTTGATCCTGGGGCTTAGTGGAGACGTCCCTGGTGGAGGGGGAAGCGCCCCCCCCTAGTAATAAACTGGGGTTGATTCATACGGGGTCAACATGAAACCCATGACAAGGTGCCGTTAGAAAGAAGAAAAAAAGCCAGCCCTGGCCAGGAAAGCCTATGCAAGGAGCTAAATGGCGCCTGACCTCGCGCCTTCTCATCTTGGGGGCGCGGCCATCCCCAACTGGACGAGGCCTGGCCGCCTTGCGATGGCCAAGGGAGGGTTCTTCGGGCAGGGCCTCCGGCTTCCCGTGCGTGGCCCAGGCTGCCTCATGTCCGGACAGTTGGCGCAGCGCTTTCGGAAGCGACCCGGGCTGCCGGGCGTCCACGATGGCCTCCGCCTGCTTTTTGGGGGCGCCCTTCAACCTTTCTGCTCTCGGAACATTCCGCGCCTCCACGGCGCTGTGGCCCCGATGTCTCGCCCAGCCCTTGGGAGCTCCGCGGCGCACCAGCACCGGCTCCTGCCTCAGGAAAATGTTGGCTCTAAGCAGAGAAGACTCGGAGACTTGGTCGCCCCGCAGCACAAAGATCCAGGCATCCCGGAGGGCAGGCCAGCCAGATGCCTTCCAAACTAACCCGCGCAACGGGCCGCGCGCTTCGAACGCAAGGTCACAGCCGTCGCATTCGGCCTTGGCATCCAGCAGCTGCTGCCGCTCCCGCAAAGCCCGATCCAAGTCGAGGCCTAAGCGGGCTCGGCACACAATAGCGGCACCATGAGGGCTGGGCTGCCGACTGTAGCGGCCCCAAATGTCCCTCTTCACGTAGGGCCGGCCTCTGACCTCAGCTCGAACCAAACTCAGCCGCACGCGTAGAGCCGCACTGCAGGCCTCTGCCCGGAAGGCAAGGCCCAAATCCTCGCCACGCACGCGACACCGGCGACACCGGCGACACGCGCCGAATGCCCCGCCTTCAGCGCCAAGCCCTCGCTCTGGCAGGCATGTCTCAAGGCCTGCACCAGTGACAAGTAGCCCGCCCAAAAAAGAAGCTCTCTTCCTGTGTCACGAGCTCCGCGTCCACGCCCGTCGCATCACTGAGCGCCTGGAGGGATTCGGTCATAGCGCCATCACCGCGCTCTTTGCTCCACTTCCGCTTCGCCTCCCGTGCCAAGCGCAGGACCTGCTGAAACTTCATCGCCTGTGCCCTGGACGGCACCTCGAAACCCCGAAACGGAAGGCCGCCGCAAGCGCTTCCGCTGTGAGGCGAAGTGAACCCTCGGGCTCGCGCTGCCACCGTCAGGATCCGCATGCTCAGCAGGAAGACCTGCGCTCGGTATAAGCCTCGGAGCAATTTGACCCCTCGGTATGAGGACCTTCTTATGACCCCATCTCAGTCGCCCGCGGCCCATACAAGTGAGCGAGGCAAAGCTCCGGGTCCGCGGGCAAGCGCCGGCCGTAAGCTCTGCACACGGCAACCGCTCAGTCGGCTTGGGTCCTCGCACACGGGTCGCGGCAAGGTCTTCCCATGTGCAAGGTCTTCCCCGCCTTCCATGAATCCAAGCAGGCATGCCTGTCACAGTGAAGGCCGCTTTGGCCCCAAGAATGGGCCGCTTGGCTCGCCTGCACCTTTGGTTTCAGCAGCAGCAAGCCGCGCTGCCGCAGCTCCCTTGGAGCCTTGAGACCCGCAACATGACGTCCGCTTCAGCCCTCGCCCGAGGGCCCTCTGAGGCATCGGGAAAAAAAAGCGCTATACAGGACACACTTTCCGGGGGTTCCCCCAGTCTTAGAACCGCCCACGTCCGCGAAAACCGCCCCGGCCGCGGGCTGCGGGCTGAGCTCGCGGCCCTCTGCAGGGCCCGGCGCAGTCGCTCAAGCGCCCGCTCAAGAGGCTTCATCTGGCCCGAAAACCGACAAGGACTCCTCGCCCCAAAGCCTCCGAAGCCTCCAAAGCCTCCGAAGCCTCCGAAGCCTCCAAAGCCTCCAAAGCCTCCAAAGCCTTCAAAGCCTGATCCTTCAAACGTGCAAAGCCCCGAGCAACTCGGGCTCCGGCCTCGCAGCGAGGCCTGCGACCACCAGACATGCCCGCCGGATCGCTTCCACTTCCCCTGACGAGCCTCAGCCTGCAAGCCTTCGTGGAAGCCGACCTCAGCTTTCAGTCCGACGTGGTGAGAAAAGCGCGCGGGAGACTTGGGATGGCAAAAGCCATGCGCCCCGTCCCGGCCAAATCACCTGCCCCCCCACCCCGGCTGGGCACCGGGGCATCGCGGCCGACCTCATACGCCGCGCTTGGCATCGCAAACCGCTCGCCGCTTCGTTGAATGCCAGCCAAGCCACGTTCGTCACTGCTCCTGCAGTTTGCTGTGACAAGCTGTACAAGCCGACGCTGCCAAATGTTGTCTTGCCACTCCTGCACCACAGTGTGAAGGGATCATCCGAGAAGATGAAGCGGGAGAAGAAGATCTGAAAGCGCCAAGCTTCACCAATGGATGCCTGATGTCTGGCCCAAGTAAAGCAAAGTGGCTCTCGAGAAGGACGAGAAGAAGAAGTAGCCTCAGTCTGTCTGCAGCATGCCCCATCTCAGTCTTGAAATCAGAGAGCTGCGAAGACAACCGGGCGCACGACGAGCGAATGCGGACCACTGCGAAAGCCAAAGAAACGGACCTCAGAATCCAAATACAGCAAGCTTCCACGTGTCAGCATCCTTCCCACACGGTCAACAACAAACTAGGCCGGAAACAGGGCCAAACCAGAGCTCGTCATCGGGGCGTTGGTCATCTTAACCTGCAGGTCTGCGTAACAGCGACAAAAGCTCCAACCGGAGTGCTGAGAAGTGGGAGTCGAACAGACCGGCGACCGTTGCCAAGCACCCGGGTCACATCCAAGTTGTGCCGGCACGCCTTGCTTGCCTATCTCAACAAGTTGCTACTTCCCGTACGCATCTCACTTGCAATGTGGCGATTTGCCCGCTGTCTGTCACGGGCGATAGTTTCCCATGTCTTCGTGTCATTGACACAAATAGCAAAGCAACCCTCGCATGTACATAAACGTTTCAATCACAACGATCCAAGATAGAGACTCTAGTAAGTACGCAGCATGACCTGTGCCTTGCCGTTATTGCCAGAACAAAAGGTCAAAAGTCAGGCCGCCCCCTTGCAAGAAGAAATGCAGGAGTGTGTCTGGCATGCGCCTGGATGTAACGCTTGAAGTCAAGACCGACCCTTTAAAGATAAGTAGGGTTCACTAACTGTGCGCTAACTGCATCAGAAAAGGGGTATTTCCTCGCAGTGCTCGCATCCAGGTCCGACAACCTGATAACGCTTCGGGGCTCGTGTGATGCCCAAGAGGTTCTGAGATTTCAGGGACCCCATTGACCGCTCGGAAATGGAAAACAGCAACAGTAAACCCCTCGAGCTGCGGCCGAGGTTTCGCACGCCCCCAAATTCCCGCTTTTGAAGACGCGTTGAAAGTCCGAAACATGCAGTGCGGACAATTCAGGGCCCGCGTCTTGAAAAAGCCGACCGAGGGCAGCGCAAGTGCTTCTTGCTTGTACGAGAAAACTGCCCGCTTTGAAGTTGAGACGCGGAGCGTTTGACGCTTTGCGGAAAAAGAAACAGGTCCTCTCACAAGGGAGCACAAGAGGTTCAGCGAACGGACGCATCTGCAAGTCTTGCCACCCCCGTCTCGTGGCGCACCATTCTGTTGAAGGATTGGCTGCACGCAGCACTGGATGTCGGGAAAGGCCTCGGCGCACAAAAGAACAAAAAGCATGTGGAAGCTCCACAATCTCGATGGCTAACAGGGGACTCCGTGTGCTGATTGCTGGAACTATTCATGGTGCCTGGTTTGCAGGAGTCTATCGCTTGAAGAACAGGGTTCCTGTTCCCAGATCCCCTGCTAAAAGTCGAAAACTTTTGGTGGTTTAGCCCGAAAAGCACCACTAACCCCGAAAAGCATCCTACAAAAAAGAATGGCAAGGAAGCGGATGGTTTTGAACCAGCAAGGAGCAAGGTTTTGTCTTTCTTGTGGCCTCAGAGGACAAGCAGGAAGTCCTTGCCACAGCACCCTCCATTCTAGCCATTGAGGCCTTGGCACTTTGGACGCACAGGACGCACACCGTGCATTGGCAAATTGAGGCAAACAGCGGCAGTCGTGTAGAAAATAGCATGTCCGACAAAGCCCGGCAGCAAGTTCATATGCGACATAAAGTACATACAACTTTGGAAAGCCAAGCTGCCACAATCAACCATTGACATTCGACAAGACAAAAATCATTTCAAACGCCCAGGCGCTAAGCCGTGCATGATCATGTTGCATCAACTGACTTCCACAACACATGAAATCCGACTATAGCCACATGCTGTGCCCAACCTCCAGCCCAGTTGACTAGATTCATGATGCTTGTCGGCCACACCCAAACCAAGGGCGGCCTGAACAGACATGAGGCACGTCCAAATGCAGGCGCTCCTGTGCACCTTCCAAAACGATCTGGCTCGTTGGAAACAAAGGCCCGTGCCGGCTGGAACTATGCGCTGGAATCATGCGCCAAATCAAAGCTGAAAATCATGTACATTGTATGCTGTCGCATTTCCAAAACGGCGCCGCCATTTCCCGCGGTGTCCTGCTGACTTTGATTGCCACCACAAAGAAATAGAAAGCCTGACCTTGCCCTTGTGGTTTGATTGTTGTTATTTGCAAGTTCAACAACACACGCACGAAAGGAGTATCTTGCATCATATGCACAATCAAACCACCCAAGCTTGTAACAGGCTGATCGGTTCGCATTCAATGTTAGATGCGACATGCTCCCGAAAGGAGTCGTTTACACAAGCGCTTTCTCAAATGATTCACACTCTCACAAACTCCCACAATCAACTCACATCAAGCTACATCGCAATTGCAAAAGTGACTGTACACCGGGTTCGACACAAAATGCATCGCCGGGTGTTGCCTTCCAAGCCATTGGCTCTTGACATCCGTATCCAATCCTGGAGCTCTTCCCACATGTTGTTGTTTATCAGACTTTACGGAGAAAAAAGGAAGAAGAAAACAAAATGAAAAAAAAAAAAAACTAAAAAGACGCATGATGCGTAGCCTGGCGTAAGGTGTGTGTGATCCTGAGCCCATGCTGTCACCTCACCTGAGACAAATGTGTCGTTGGAACGAGCATGCTGGAACTTTCGTGCGGTCCCTGGGCCTGGCGATAGGTGCCAAAACATAACATGGACGTTGTCCGCGCAGGTGTCGCAAGATGGCGCCAGCACCCCCGTAGCCTCATTGGATGGTTCCGTATTGTTGGACACTCCCATGCCTATCTGGGTTTCTAAATGTTCCTGTTTGCTCGTTTTGGGTTTCGTGGTGTGTTTGGCGGACCATCTTGGGTAAGATTTACGTCGCGCGACAGATTCGTTTACGGTGCATGCGCAGGCAAGTTGACGTCCTTCCGCTAATTGCTTCGTCTATCCTTGTTTATTGATCCAAAGAAAGATTCGAAGGAACTTCCGTAGTACGGAAGCTAACTGAAAGGCAGCTTGCGTAGACAGATAGAACCAGAAGATGAGATAGCGCGTGCGCAAGGATAGATAGCGCGCTTGAAAAGAAAGCGTACGCAAATAGTTTCCGAGCAAAAAACATGAAGAAAGAATGACCCCCTGAGAAAATATGTATAGGCGTGTGGGGGAATTTTCATCGAGAAGAGTAACCCCCGCGGGTTTCGGCGGGTTAAGGCATGTTGCGCTTGAACCCAAACATGAAACCCCAAAAGAACAAAGCTCATCCAAGCGGCCGCAGTTCTTTTTACCGGGATTGCTGAAAGTAGCACTGCTTCCAGGGCACTGGTGCGCCTGGAACAGAAGGCGCATTGATCCCGCAAAATTTGAAAAAGGCAAGACTCAAGGTCCGGAGACCAAACTTGGTCCGGTTAAGGCATGTCGCACTGCTCCTAGCTTGAACCCAAACATGAAACCTCAAAAGAACAAAGCTTGTCCGAAGCGGCCGCAGTTCTTTTTGCCGGGATTGCAAAAAGTTGCACTGCTTCCAGGGCACTAGTGCGCCTGGAGCAGGAGGCACATTGACCCCCCCTTCCGTGTTTTAGGCAACCCCGGTAAAAGCGAACCCGCTGGGCCAAAGGCCTCCGCTTTGTGAAAATTGGAATGGGCAATTACATCCTTCCAAGTGGTGTGGTTTGCCAAGACCTGGAACATGCAAGAATCCGGAACATTTGGCAGCAGCCTTCATCGTCGCTGCAAGATCGGCTATCTTCTTGTCGAAGGTGTTGAGGTTTGATAGGTGCGCTGCTTGGCACAGGGCTAGGGCATTGCGAAACACGGTCTGGATACGGGTAAGCCATCCCGCCAGCAAGTCGTCGAAAAAGGCCTGGCTCAGGAGCTGCAACTCCGAGCGAACTGCTTGGGCTGACTTTGCTTCCATGCGTTTCTGTATTGCCGTAATAAAAGGCGATACTGCCAGGGCACCCACTTCAGGGTTAGGCCCTTGTGCACAAGGCCTCTCTCTTTAGAGGGGGTTTCCCAAATGGTTTATATTCTACCTGAAGCACTCGTCCGTCCAGCATTTGACCTCGTCCTGCGAAGGATTCGAAGTCTAAAACGCTGCGTGCAGGCGTGAGGCTGCAAAATAGAGACCCCTAGATATGCTTGCAATTTGGCTCCAGGTTGCATTTCAAGCGAGCCAACCTTTGCAGGGCTAAGAAAAAACAAAAAAAAAGAAAACAAGGGGTCCCAAAAAAAGGGGTCCCCGAAAAAAAGGGAAAAGGGGTTTCCTTTGGCAAAGCTTGACATCGCTTGAAATGCAACCTGGAGCCAAATTGCGGCGCATATCTAGGGGTCTCTATTTTGCAGCCACACGCCTGCACGCAGCGTTTTAGACTTCGAATCCTTCGCAGGACGAGGTCAAATGCTGGACGGACGAGTGCTAGGAGCCTCTCAGGTAGAATATAAACCATTTGGGAAACCCCCTCTAAAGAGAGAGCTTTGGGGGCTGAATTCTCAATCAAGGCCCAAAGCCTTCAATCCTCAAACTTTGATGAAGCCTTTAATTCTTAAACTCCAAGGCCCAAAGCCTTCAATCCTCAAACTTTGAGGGCTGAAGCCTTCAGTTTGAGGATTGAGCCTTGAAGTTTGAGAATTGA